TTTTTTTGTGATGATGAAGTCATAGTCCAAGACGACCTTGGCAAGTGGTCAATGGTTCGGCGAGTTGTTCGGCCGAGTACTAGACCTAAACAAGGTGCACTACGAGGGCCAAAGTTTATTGAGTCAACACACCAATCAAGTCTTACCACCATCGAACTTGGGGGTGAACAATGAACATGTTGTTGGACGACGAGCACGCCCTTTTGGATTCATCAAGGGGAGAATTGGATTAGAAGATGAAAGATGATGCTCCGGAACCAACGAGCTCTTCGGACACACACCCACACACTGTTAAGTGCACTGCAGTATGGTCAACTGGCCAAGTCAGGCAGAGTCTGGCTGCCGTCTGCTGAACCTTGAAGATCAGCTTCAAGCAACCGTTAAAAAGGCATGCGGTCGTAGAGAGGGGCTAAGCGCCCGCGCCGGCCATGTTTTGTACGTATATGTTTATAAAAAAAAAACTCAAGATCGCAGTGTGTTAGCAGCAGTCAGTCAACAGCCAGTGATCGATGACCCACACAACAGGACCAAATGTGTGCAAGTGGATGATGATGACGCAGTCGTACACAGTTTCTATAAAAAAAAGGGGGGGGGGCAACTGTGTGCGGATGTACTGGCCCACTACTGGGCTGGGGGCTAACAGCTCATATGGGACGACGACGACTAGGGTTGTAGAAACAATCCATTTTTATTAAGGGTTTGTATGGAGTGTCGATTCTAATTGTCGCCTATCTTGTTCTTGGTCAGCTTAGGGGTCAGGGGGAGCAAGGGTACTGGGATGACGATTAGAACTCATACAGCTATTGTGCAAATGATTGCGCTGATTGGATGACTTCCCGTCAACATCTGCGGGGCTCCCAGTTTCGATTTAGAGCCGAAAAAGCTAGATTTCCCTGCAAAAATCTAGACTTTTTGGGTCTAAATCGGAAACTGCGAGGCTCCCAGATCCGACGGGAAGTCCTCCATTTCTGAACTTTTTTTTTTTTTTTTTCTCGCGCGCGACTTTTTTTTTTGCCCCGATCCTCAAAGCCCGGCCCCGCCTGTGCAAAGTACCGCGGAGCACACACCGGGTGAGACCACCCGATTTCACCCGATCAGCCGAAGTTACACATTTTTTTTTTCGGGCTGAGTCGGTCATGATAATCGGTGGGTAATCTCCTGCAAATTTACCCGGCGGGCTCGGGGCTTCGAGGATCGGAGGAAAAAAAAATGTCGCGCGAGGAAAAAAAAAAAAAAAAAGTTCGGAAATCGGCGCAATCATTTACACAATAGCTGTAGATCAATTCATGAACTCGAAGAGGGTGGAGTTGACTGCATACTCATTTTTAGTTCTTTGTAACAATCATGGGCTCAGAGCTCAACCATCAAAAAGTGGTCCCATAGATTCATGTTCGATTGGTTCGGGCCCGTCGATATGCTGTGATGTGATGTGATGTGCGTTCCATAAAAAAAAGCATGAGAAAGAGGGTTTGGGTCAGGGTCTGTGTACTGCTCAGTCCCTTTTTAGGCAGGCTTTCAACCGGAAGCACATCATTTCTTCCAAACTCACTGAACTGCATACATAAACACATAATAAGGGGGTTCACGTACTGCTGATTTCGAAATCAGCAGTTGAACTTTGCTGGAATAGCTGTTTTGAGGTTTATGGGAAACCAAAATAGTTTAGTGGGAGGTCCCCCTTTGGATTCAAAATCCCATATTTAAAGTTCATCAGGTTGGTGCATCAGCAAGCAAACCTTAAGCTGCATCAGCAGAGGTTTGGCTGGAACGTGAACTGCCTTAATTTCCTCTTGATTTAAACAGACAAGTCTTTGTTGATGCACCCATCTTTTCTCACTCAGACTTCAAAAGACACAGAGAGAGCATGTTTTGGTTGTCTGTTGTTGAATTTGAATTGATTCTTTTACACTTTTTAGATTTTTTTTACATATGTTTCTCTTAATTTGGGTAAGGTGGGGATCTGTAGATATACACATACTTCCTGTTGAAATTTTAATTGAGCTGATGGTTTCAGATAAAGAAAAATTTAAAATCAAAATATAAAAACTTAGCATTGATTAGAGATGGGCACTTTGCATCCGGATATCCGCGCGGATGCGGATATCCGGTTGCTTTTTCCGGGGAAAGCGGCATCCGCACCCGCATCCGCATCCCCTGGCGGATATCCCCCCGCCTCAGAGCAACTCCACCGCGGGTGGTAAAGGTCGGATTTACCACCCGAATTACGGAATTACCACCCAACTTCGGGCATGTGCAACACCGCAGAGTGGTAAACCTGAGCTAAATCTTTGCGAAAGGTCACCCCCGGGTCCATCCACCAACCCCTAGTTTTCTACTAGCACTTCTCTGGAAGTTATTTTCAATCCAGTATCTTCAAAGATGAACATCGACCCCAATGAATAACTCGACTTTGACGCGCACCTCCAAGTTGTACTCCAAACGCAACGGATGATGTTTTCAAACAGTTTTCATCAACGAATGTCAATCATAAATTCAACAAACATGCTTATCCAAATGAGAAGAGCAAGAGAGGATGAAGAATTAGAATTACGAGTGCACGGTGGATCCAGACCAGGTCGCATGCCGAACTTGCCACGTGATTTTGAAGCAGGCTACAACCAACTGTTCACCGACTACTTTGCAGAAAATCCCGTCTACCCCGATCACTTGTTTCGAAGGCGTTTCCGAATGCGACACTCACTTTTCTTGAGTATTGTTGACGATGTGCAAGAACACGACAACTACTTCTTGCAGAAGGCTGATGCCCTGGGTAAACCTGGCTTGAGACCTCTCCAAAAAATCACCTCTGCTATTCGAATGCTTGCATATGGCGGTGCTTCTGACTTGAACGACGAATACCTCCGACTTGGCGAATCGACTTCCAACGAAAGCTTGCTAAAATTTTGTCAGGCAGTCATCCATGTTTATGGAGGTGAATATCTTCGGCAACCAAACACAGAAGATCTCAAGCGACTCCTTTCAATTGGAGAGGCGAGGGGATTTCCGGGCATGCTTGGATCCCTGGATTGCATGCATTGGGAATGGAAAAATTGCCCATCCGGTTGGGCTGGGCAATTTCAAGGGAAAGAGAAGGTGTGTTAAATTCTTATTGATGTTTATTATTTTAAAATTCTGATTAATTCAATTCTCTTCAGGTGCTCACAATAGTCTTGGAGGCTGTTGCTTCACAAGATTTGTGGATATGGCATGCCTATTTTGGCTTACCTGGCTCAAACAACGACACCAACGTGCTGGATACCTCGCCACTCTTCAAAAGCCTCCTCAATGGAGAGGCTCCCAAGTGCGAGTTTGTTGTGAATGGCAACACATATCAACAAGGTTATTATCTCGCCGATGGAATTTACGGGGAGTGATAATCACACTCCACCCCCCTTCGCACACACACTCCCACACTCCCTTCTCTGAATGGAGTGTGGGACCGCACGCCAATCGAAATTGGCGTGCGGACCTGCACGCCAGCCCCCTGCGCGGGCATTACCCCAGCAGGTTGGCGTGCGGATCCCCATATGGATTTCGGTTGAGGTGCGACCTATAAGACCCACGGATGGGTCAGATGGCTACACCGGCCGGCCGGATCGAAGCTT